ACCCCCGCCCCCAGGTCCCGGTGGCCGTGGGCCTGGCTGTCTTTGCCTGTCTCTTCCTTTCCACGCTCTTCCTTGTGCTCAGCAAATGTGGACGGTATCAAGAGGCTTTTGCTCTCCTCACATTGGGTCTATTTTAAACCCATATATTTTTTTCCCAAAAGCTTTTTTTTTTTAAGGTTTTATTTATTTATTTGTTAGAGAGAGAGAGAGAGAGAGAGAGAATGAGCAGGGGGAGGGGCAGAGGGAGAGGGAGAAGCAGGCTTCCCGCTGCACCGGCCGGCAGCCTGATGGCTGATTCTGGGCTCGATCCCAAAACCCTGAGACCATGACCCGGCCCAAAGGCAGACGCTTAACAGACTGAGCCCCCCAGGCGCCCTTTTCCAAAAGCTTTTTAACTACATGTTTTTGGCTTGTTTGATGTTTAGGTCCTCTCCCGATCTTTTTTTTTTTTTTTTAAGATTTTATTTATTTATGGACAGAGAGAGACACAGCGAGAGAGGGAACACAAGCAGGGGGAGTGGGAGAGGGAGAAGCAGGCTTCCCGCTGAGCAGGGAGCCCGATGTGGGGCTCGATCCCAGGACCCTGGGATCATGACCTGAGCCAAAGGCAGACGCTTAACGACTGAGCCACGCAGGCACTCTTACCTCTCCCGATCTTCTTAAGCTTGATTGCACTTCAGTCTGGATCCCTTATCCAATAGACTGCGCGTTTAGTTCCCATAGCCAGCACCCGCTTCCCTGGGGCTGTCACTTACGGCCACCACAGAGGCTGGCCAAGCCTCTGAATTGTATGCAGCTGCTGCCTGGTTCATTTAAGATTGACTGTCAGCTTTCTTTAGGAGGTCCCTCCTTGTGCATTTCTTCGGGCCTGCTGGCCAGTTTTTCTTAGGCCCGCCACCTGATTTCTGGCTCTGCCCCCGCCCCCCGACTTGTCAGGTGGGCGCTGGGTCCCCTCCGGCTGCTCCCTGACTTCTGGCTGTCGCCCTGTCTGGCCCGCAGTCCCGGCCAGCGTGCAGCTGCACAAGCCAGTGGAACTACACCACTGGTGCATCCCCTTCTCGGTGGACGGGCAGCCGGCGCCCTCTCTGCGCTGGCTCTTCAACGGCTCCGTGCTCAACGAGACCAGCTTCATCTTCACCGAGTTCCTGGAGCCCGCGGCCAATGAGACGGTGCGGCACGGCTGCCTGCGCCTCAACCAGCCCACCCACGTCAACAACGGCAACTACACGCTGCTGGCCGCCAACCCCTCCGGCCAGGCCTCCGCCTTCGTCATGGCCGCCTTCATGGACAACCCTTTCGAGTTCAACCCCGAGGACCCCATCCCCGGTGCGAGGGCCACCCCGGGCCCCGCCCCGCTCCCCGGGGCACAGACCCAGGGGCCGCGGGGAGGCCTGGTCCTGACCACAGTTGGAGTGCCTGGTCCTGGACGGAAATGAGCCTGGAGCTCTGGTGTCCGGCTCCGCGCTGGCCTCCCTGCCCCGCCTCCCCTGAACCCCAGGAGCCCCGAACCCCTGGGCTGCCAGGCTCCCTGGGCTGGCCGAGGAGAGGGCGGTGCACCAGGGCATCGGTGGCCCAGCTGGAGAAGGGCTGTGTGCCTCTTCTCCTCGAGGTCCAGCCACCCCACCCCCCCACCCCACCCCCTGCCCCAGGAAGGGATGAGTGGGAGGGGCCTCCCTGCCCCTCTGCCCCCCCATCTGACTGTTTTCTCTCTTCCTCCCACTGCAGTCTCCTTCTCGCCAGTGGGTGAGTAGCCCAGGCCAGAGGGCAGGTTCTGTCTGGTCCCTGAAGCCGAGGCTGGGGCAGAGGGCACCGCTGACCTGGTCCCTGAGGGCTCAGCGTGGTGTGGGGGGGGCGAGGGGGGGAGCTGCTGCCAGAGACACGGCGTGGGCTGAGGCCCACTCTCCGTGCCCTGTGTCCCCGCAGACACTAACAGCACGTCTGGAGACCCGGTGGAGAAGAAGGATGAAGCCCCTTTTGGGGTGAGCATGAGATGGGGAAGCTGGTCTCAGCCTCGGGATCGGGAGGCTGGGCTCGGGGCTTGTCCGGGAGGAGTCCGCAGGTCTGGGGGCCCGGCTCTGGGCTCCCACGAAGGACGGGGAGCTGTTTGCGGGGGCTCTGAGGGAGCAGGAGAAGCTGGGCTCTGACCACCCCCGCCCCCAGGTCCCGGTGGCCGTGGGCCTGGCTGTCTTTGCCTGTCTCTTCCTTTCCACGCTCTTCCTTGTGCTCAGCAAATGTGGACGGAGGAACAAGTTTGGGATCAACCGTGAGTCGGGGTGCTGCAGCGGGGCTGTCCGTCCATCTGTCTGTGTGTCTGTCCTGTTGGCTTTGTTTCCCACTGGCTCTCCCTGACCCCGTCCTCCGTGTGGGGGGCCTGCACACGGTGGAGAGTGAGGGGGTGTGCACTGGGGTGGATGCGGGCCTGGCTGCGGGGCGCGTCTGTCGGGTCTGCGGCTGGGAGAGCGTCAGGCAGCAGCTGCTAATTGGCGGCTGGATTATAGTCAAACACTAAGTGGGTCTGGGAGGTCTGAGCTCTGCGGGGGGGAGTTCTTTGGTGGCCCCACTGGGCCTGGGGTTGGGCAGGAGCCAGACAGAGAGAGGCCATAGTGCCTCCCCGTCCCCTGCGGGCTGCCTCGCTCCCTCGCTCCCCTGCCCCTCCCCTGCAAGTTACAGGCCGGGGTTGCCTGGTGCCCTGCAGCCCGACAGGGGCCGGGGTGTGTACCTGGGTTGTGACCCCTCCATGAGGCTGTGTTGCTTCCCCAGGGGCAGCTGTGCTGGCTCCAGAGGACGGACTGGCCATGTCCCTGCATTTCATGACATTAGGTGGCGGCTCCTTGTCCCCCACTGAGGGCAAAGGTTCTGGGCTTCAAGGCCACATCATCGAGAACCCACAATACTTCAGTGATGCCTGTGAGGAGCTATCCTGGTCAAGGGTGGGGGCGAGCCTGGGTGTGTGCGCGCGTGTAGAAGCCCCTGGTATCGTCTCCTTTGTCCACCCCAGGCCTGAATCAGCCTCCCCTCCCATCCCTCCCTTCCCCGTCCGTACCGCAGTATGGGGCTTTGGGGAATGCACAAAGGCTCAGTTTCAGTCCCCAGGCACCCCCTTGGCTGGCAGCCTTGCGCTGCCCCCGGGCCTGCCGGCCAGTCCTTCCCAAGATGGGGGCTGAGGTCTGACCCCGCAGGTGTTCATCACATCAAGCGCCAGGACATCGTGCTCAAATGGGAGTTGGGCGAAGGCGCCTTTGGGAAGGTCTTCCTTGCTGAGTGCCACAACCTGTTGCCTGAGCAGGACAAGATGCTCGTGGCCGTCAAGGTAAGACCCTGTCTACGAGCTGCCACTGGCCTGGGTCCCATGTCCCAGAGCACCCTGGTTCTGGGACCGGTGCTCAGGCTGGGGGGTGGGCTGAGGGGTGTGGCCCCCTTGGGTGTGGGCCGGGGAGGAGGGCCCCTCACCCTGTCCCGCCGCGCCCCGGCGTCCAGGCGCTGAAGGAGGTGTCGGAGAGCGCAAGGCAGGACTTCCAGCGGGAGGCCCAGCTGCTCACCATGCTGCAGCATCAGCACATCGTGCGCTTCTTTGGGGTCTGCACCGAGGGCCGTCCGCTGCTCATGGTCTTTGAGTACATGCGCCACGGTGACCTCAACCGCTTCCTCCGGTAGGAGTGCCTGGCCACCCATGCTGGCCTCTTGGCTCTGAGCCCCTGTACCCCTTCCCTACAAGCGCATCCCCGATGGTCGGTCGAACCGAGGGGGGACACCAGACATGGCAGGAGGGCCGGGCTCCTGTCCTGGAGGAGCTCAAAGGCGGGTGTGTGGGGGGGGCCGTCTGCGCCAAGGACATGGTAGCGGTAGTTGGGGGGGTGGGGCGCGAGCAGAAGTCAGGACAGTGACTTGCGGAGAGTGTGTTTGCACGTGCGGGGGGCGCGCAGAAGCCAGGCCTGTGGGGTTGACAGCGTGGAGAGCTACGGTGACAGTAACAGGCCTTCCAGGTACTCTGCTCCCACTCTGCACCCTGGCTGCATGTGCATGGACCCGTGTGTCTGAATAATCACCCAAGTATATATGTATTCTTCATAACCTCCAAGCGTATATGACCATTTATACTCGAAGAACGTCTTTAAAAATTAATTTCTTTTGCTGTGGACAGAACAACTCTGACACATTTACTAATGTGTGCCGATGATTTTAACAGCTTTAAGAAATGTGCCCATTTCACAGATGAGGCGTAAGTGGCTTGCCCACAGGCACACAGGAGGGAGTATGACCCTAAGTAGAGCCCTGCTCTCAGCCGCTGACTGTGATGGTCGCATGTTCCCTTTGTTGAGTCCTTGGGTGAGAACGCCCCCTTTCCCAGGATGGCGCCCTGTGAGGTGTGAGGCGGGTAGGGGGAGGGCCAGGCTTGCACTCAGCTTGACCTCCTAGCTGAGCCAAGTAGCTTTCCTCTCTGACCTCAGTTTCCCTGACGGTAAGAGGGACAGTGGGGGGGCTGTGGTTCTGGATGAGAAAGCGCTGTGTGGCTGTCTAGCTGATGGTCGTGATTTGGTCTCCGAACACCCCCTTGGGACTGAAGGGTCATCCATACTGTCAGGCTACAGAATTCGGTTGGGAGAGACCTCGAGTCTGAGCTTATCCTGTGGAGGAGGAGGAGCCCATGTAGGGTGGGGAGCAGGAGGGAGGTGATGAGACCCCATGTGGAGTGTGGGGGTGGATGGGCTCAGGAGACTGGAGTCAATGGGAGGCCAGACCGGAGGCCTGGCTCACCAGACACTGTGTGGGCTCAGTGCTGAGTGCGGGGGATGCAGGCCAGGGACAGGCCACCATCTGGGACCCAGGCTGTGGGAGAAGTGGCTCTTAATGCTGCAGGAAGCACAGGGAACCAAAGGAGGGAATCGTGAAGGCTCCTAGACAAGTCTGGAGGACATTCCCTAAGAAGCCCAGCTGTTCCTTCGAGCCTCGGGGCCTTTGCATTTACGGTTCCCTTTGCCTGGAACACCAGGTCTCCCTCCCAGTCACTTCACCCACCTCTGTCTCTGACCCTTTTGAATGGCTTACTCACCTCCTTTCTTCAGGGTTTCCATCTCAGTTGAAATGTCTCTTCCTCCAAGAAGTCTCCCCTGACTTCTCCCATCCCTAGCCTGAGTGCCCATCAGGTGCCCTGTTGATCTGTAGCCTACTCTCCACGGTAGCTCTGGTGATCGGCACACTACAGGTGTGTAGTAAGCCCCTGCCATACGTGAAGGAATAAACAGATGAGGCGAAAGTTGGCCCGTGGGCAGGGGCTGACCCGACAAAGCCATTGGCTCGGGCAGGGGTCAGAAGAAGGAATATCTGGGGAATGGAGCTGAGTGACCAGGGACGCATCTGGAGTGGTGGCTGTGGGAGGTGGAGGGTGTCCTGGAGACCTTTGGCAGGAAGAAGGACCCCACGGGAGGCTGAATATTGAGGGCAAAGGTGAGAGAGACAGGAGGACCCCCAGGTTTCCCTGGGGGGGAAGCTTCCCTTCATGGAGGCAGGGGCAGACCTGGGGGAAGAAGCTAAGCATCTAGAGGACCCAGTGGGAGGTGTCCATGGGCAAGACATGCAGGGGCCAGGGGGCAGCTGGCTGCTGGGCTCAGAGTTTGAGGGGGCTGCCTGGGGGGGGGGCGTGAATGTGGAAAGTGTGGGCAGTGGTGGAGGCTCCAGAGGTGGGCACACCCGGCGGCCCCCCTCCCAGGCCCTCCAGACACCTGCCTCCCTGTTCCTTCCTTCCTCCATTCTCGGGAGTCTCCTCCCCACTCCCATCCCAGCGCCCCTGGTTCCGTGACCCCAGCCTCCTGGGGGCTCCCCGTCCCCCAGCCGGGCCTCCTCTCCCTCACTCTTTGGCAGGTCCCACGGGCCTGACGCCAAGTTGCTGGCTGGCGGGGAGGACGTGGCTCCCGGCCCCCTGGGCCTGGGGCAGCTTCTGGCCGTGGCGAGCCAGGTCGCAGCGGGGATGGTGTACCTGGCTGGTCTGCACTTCGTGCATCGGGACCTGGCCACGCGCAACTGCCTGGTAGGCCAAGGCCTAGTGGTCAAGATCGGGGACTTCGGCATGAGCAGGGACATCTACAGCACAGACTATTACCGAGTAAGGGTCCTTGGGCGCCCCCTCGGACGGGGGCACGCCCTCCTCTTCCTGGGCGGCGTGGGGGCCCAGGCTGCCCCGCTCTGGACTCCAACCCCTCTCTTACCTCCTGGGCCACGGAGGAGGGTGTGTCTCCGCTCTCTGGGACGCACAGAGACACCACCATTGCTTTTTCCCTCTTGGCGCCGGCCCCCAGAGCCCCTTCCATTCATCTTTAATGACGGGGCGGGGCGGGGGCACGGCAGGGGCGGGGGTGCCCCCGTTCCCCCCCCCGCAATGACGCGGCACCGCCCACAGGTGGGGGGCCGCACCATGCTGCCCATCCGCTGGATGCCCCCCGAGAGCATCCTCTACCGCAAGTTCACCACCGAGAGCGACGTGTGGAGCTTCGGCGTGGTGCTCTGGGAGATCTTCACCTACGGCAAGCAGCCCTGGTACCAGCTCTCCAACACGGAGGTCAGCCCTGCCCGCCGCCCTGGCCCTGCTCCTCGGGTCCCCTGGTGCCCCCATCCCACTGCCGGGGCCCCATGCTGAGGAGGCTGGGCCTCCTCCACGCCACCACCCCCCCCACCCCGCCCCGTCCCCTTCTCTCCTTGCATTCTTCTCCGCTCGGATTCCTGCCTCCACTCACTGTCCGAGCCCAGCCTGGGGGAGCCTCAAAGCACTTTACAGATGGAGCCCAGACCCCATGCTTAGCTGCATTTTATAGACCCGGTAGGCATTATCAGGGAGGAGGGGAGAGGCTTGGAAGAGGTGCAGAGCACAAGAGGGCCTGATACTGCAGCAGGAAGGCTGGAGGTCAGACTGCAGGAAGGACAGGCCCGTGCCTCCCTCTGCCCTCCCCCTTGGACACCGCCAGAGCAGGCCCCAGGTGTTCTGTCTCCCAGAGCAGCTCCCCCCACCCCCTCCTTGGCTCGCAGCTGTCAGTTTCCATTTCTCCTCCTAATGCAGTCCGCTCCCTGGAGGCTGCTGGGGTGGGGGAGAGGGTTATAGATTTTAATTTTCTCAAGCACGGAGAGAAGGAATGGAATTAGTGCTGCCCATAACCCAAGTCCTTTAATGGGGAGGGAGGGAAGGGCGGGGAGAGCCTCCAGGCCCCGTCACCCATCTCCCTGCTGCCATCTCTCCTTCTTTGGATCCCTTAGCTGCTCTAACAGTCCTTCCTGGAGTCTAACTTGGATCTTTCCTGCTGTAGTTTCTGTTCAGAGGTGCTAGGACCCCACAGAATGGTACCTACAGAAGACAAAAGGAATTGGGGTTGCCCTGTACCTTAAATCGCCAGCCGGCCAGTTTTCAAGGCCTTTGCCTGCAATCCTGCTCTACTTTCTTTTTGCCCTCTGGAGCTGAGAGGTGGAGGACCCTTCCCTTCCTCCATTCAGCCCTCAGCCCTGGCTGATGGATTTGGCAAATGCCTGGGCCCCTCCCCTTCCTCAAATCACCTGGCCAGTCTTCTGAGGGTCTGATTCCAGCCCTTCGGGAAGCAGTCCTACCCCCAGCTCAGCCTTCCCAGCCTACCTACCTGCTCAGTGTCGGGGTGGAAAGGAATCTTGGGGTTTGCTGCGTCCTTTTAGATTATTCATAGCCAAGAGGCCCAGCCGTCTGTGGGACCCGCGTGGAGAGCTCAGGGAGGTGTGGGGGGCTGCCGCTGCTGGCCTCCCCCTCCTGCTCCAACTCAGTGCTCCCTCTTCTCTCTCCCTCCGGTGGTCCCAGGCAATTGAGTGCATCACGCAGGGGCGGGAGCTGGAGCGGCCCCGGGCCTGCCCGCCGGAGGTCTATGCCATCATGCGGGGCTGCTGGCAGCGGGAGCCCCAGCAACGCCACAGCATCAAGGATGTGCATGCCCGGCTGCAGGCCTTGGCCCAGGCGCCTCCCGTCTACTTGGATGTCCTGGGCTAGGCAGCCAGCCCAGGGGCTGTGCAGTCCGAACACTGGGGCCTGCCCTCAGTAACCCCTGCAACTCCCAGCAGCCCCAGGGTGATCTCAAAGCATCTAACTCACCCTCAGCATGCCAGAGGGGACAAGTGGGGTCTGGGAGTGGAGGATGTCCCTGCTTCTCTGGGCAGGGTCCCGTCATAGCAATTATATTTATTATCCCTTGGCTGTGTGTCTCTTGCCAGTTCTTGGGATGATGTCACTCTGGGAGAGGGGGATTGAGCTGCAGGTAGGGGATGCTCCTCCCCTCGCTAGTCTCCCTCAGCGGTAGTCCTCCTCCCAGCAGCTGCCGCAAACCCTCCTGGTCCTGGGGCCGCCGTGTCTACCCCGTGGTGGGGTGGCTCCAAGGTAGGCTTCCCAGAACCTCAGACCCGAATCAGCTGTCTCCGCACTTCATGCTCAAGAAGGCCGTTGCTGTAGCGGGAGGGACAGAAGTTAGACGGTGGGGCGGACAGGATGGAAGCATTGGTGGGGAGGGTCTTCCTGGTGTTCGTGCACACAGAACAGCAGGCACGTGGTAGAACACGGATGAGAGAGAGGGAGAGAGTGCTTGAGTGTGCATGTGTGTGCGTAGGTACACGTGTGTGTGTGTGCACGCGTGTGGCAGGGGCAGGGAAGGAGCAGGAGAAAGAAATGATGAGGGAGGCAGGACCCATGATCCTTCCCCTCCGTCACTCTTCTTGGCTCTGAGTGCTTTGAGATCGGCCCCTGGAGACTGGGGCCTGGGCAAGGTGGCTATTTCCTGAGGACAGAGCCATCTATCTGTCCCATTCTGCCCAAGGAGGAGGTGGGCTTTCCCTTCCCCTCTGCCCCCTGGAACACCGCTGGCCTCACCGAATGGCCCCAGGCTTCTGTAGGCTCTGAGGCTGGCTGAGGCAGGCCCCACCCGCCCGCCCCCATCTTCCTCACCAGGAGCCTCGGAGGAGCGGTCCCCCCCACCCCACCCCGGCCCCATCACTTTCAATCACCTGCTCAGCTCCCGCAATAACCCACGCTCCCCATGGCTCCTCAGGGCTAATGTCATGGCTGTCTCATGTCCCTGGGTGACCAGCTCCCTCCACACAGTGATTCAATCTGGGTCTTATCACCCCTAGGCCTAGCCCGATGGTGTCTGCCTCTTGTCCAGGCTGGTTAGTGCTAATGGAGGTCTGACCCAGAGCTGCAGGCTGATTGATGGGGTGGGGGGTGGGGGTCTGGTCCCTGAGGGCCCAAGTTCACAGGGTCCTCCCTCCTCTTCTGACCTGGGGAGGGTGAGTGCAGCCCCACCCAGTGAGGGGGGGCTTGCAGCAGGTGGAGTAGGGGGGTTGGAAACATGGTGGGAGAGACAGGGTCAGCGACCAGATCCTACAGGTAGGCCAGGGAAGGTGCGAAGAGAGAGACAATGCAGAGACAGGGGCAGAACCTACAGACTTGGAGACATGCAGAAAGACTGTACGGGGGGGGTGTGGGGACAGAGCAGAGAGACAGACGGACACCGATGGCCAGACAGGGGCAGATGAGTGGTGGAAACAGACACAGCCCAGCCGAATCAGAGAATGTTCTGGAGAACAGCCTGGGAGCTTGGGGGGGACGCTTTCTCTCTCACCCGCACTCCCATCCTCCCCCCTCCTCTGCTCCTTAAGCTTCTCTTCAGGGCTGAGGAGGGGGTGGACTGGGAGCCTCCATGGGTGGAGGTTTGGGGGGTCCTCCCTGAGCGGGATTTGGGCCATCCCCGGAGCAGAGGGGATGGAGGGTCGGGCAGTAGAAGGGACCTGCCTGGGCAAGTGGAACATTTCCAAGGTCAAGAGCATCAGGGCATCAGAAGCTCTTAAGACCACAGCCAGAGGTATTGCTGGAAAAGCTGGGCAGGTAAGGTGAGGGGTTCTGGGAACAAGGGAGGGGTATGTTCCGGGAGAGGGTGGGAGAGGGGACAGGAACAGGAGCTGGAGCCAGTCACTCAGACCCCTTCAGGCAACCTGAGCCCCCGGCCTTGTGCTGGTTGGTGAGGAGGGCGCTTGCTCGCACCCACATGGCCAGGCTCATGGCCTAAGAGCCCCCCCCCTTCACTCGCATGCAGATGAGCAGGTCTCACGGGCAGACACACTCGCAGCCCCCACCCTCCTCACCGTAGCTGTTGGATTCCTCTGTCGTTAATGGTGCCCCCCTCCAGCCCAGGGAGGCACACGCCCCTCCCTGTTAATTACCTCCTGGCTGTGCCAAGTCCATTAGCTGCCCCCCCCACACCCCCCAGGGGCTAAGCACCAGCTGAGATGCATGCCTGCAGGGGGGTCAATGGAATGGGACCCTGAGGACCCCATGGGGAGCTGGGGCAGGGACAGCAACCTGAGGCTGCGGGGGTGGGACATCTGGGTCCCCTGGACCTAGTGTAAGCCCCACCCTCTTGGAAAAGTCTGTCTGGACTGGAAGGCAGAGGCTCAGACCTGGTGGTGGGCTCTGCAAGCACGCTCAGCATTGAGGGGAGCACCCGGAGCTCTCCTCTTAAGGACGTTGTTGCCAGCTCCATCCTCCCAACTCTGGAGAGAGGGCACCAGTGATGCAGAAGCCGGCGGGTCTCCCCCAGGGCCACCCCAGTGCGGGGATGGGCTCTCTGAAGAACCCAGGGCTCCAAGCCATCCGGACCCCCTCAGCCTCCACAAGCAGCCTCTGCCTCCTTCCTGCCCTGCTCCCGCAGGGGCTGCGTTCCCGACAGACGGGGAAACCGCGCATCTGTTCCAGTTTCCGGGAACAGTGTGGGCAGAGGGCTGGGGCAGTCTGGGTGGGGACTGTCCTGATCTGCATCCCTATGAATCCCCAAGTGAAGGGAGACCCCAGAGAGAATCCCAGACTCCGGAGGTCCTGGGCTCTCTGAGTGTCAGCTGAAGAGAGCCTTTTTTTTTTTTTTTTTTAAGATTTTATTTATTTATTTGACAGAGAGAGACACAGCGAGAGAGGGAACACAAGCAGGGGGAGTGGGAGAGGGAGAAGCAGGCTTCCCGCCGAGCAGGGAGCCCGATGCGGGGCTCGATCCCAGGACCCCGGGACCATGACCTGAGCCGAAGGCAGACGCTCAACGACTGAGCCACCCGGGCGCCCTGGAGAGAGCCTGTCTTGCCAAATTCCTGAAGTGGCCTTGGACAGGCTGCCCAGTGCAGGAGGGGGTGACAGTCCCTGGAGGAGCCAGGACCCAGGAACCCCGACTTCTCAGCCAGGCTGAACCCCCCGGCCCTGCAGCCCCCCCCCCCAGGGGCTCCACACCTCAGCTCTGACAGCCCTCACTGCCACAGGGGAGCGGCTGAGCAGCTCCGGCTCTGGGGCACTGGGGAGACAGGCGTCTGCCACCAGGAGAGACGGAGGCAGGAAGGGCCTCTGTGCGGGCTGTCTCTGTCCCGTCGTGACCTTGTCTCCAGAACGGGGGTGACAGTGGCAGTCACCTCACAGGGCTGTTTGGAGGTTTCAGCAAGTCCTGTGTGTGAGTCCCTTCCAGCAGGGACTGGCCTGGACGTGCCGGGCACAAGGTGGCTGGCATCAGTCCTCGCTTCGTCTCCTCCTCTGCCCTGCTCCTCTCCATCCTTTGCGTGCCCTCCATCCCGGCCTGGCCCCGGTCTTTGGGGGTGAGGCAGGATAGACTGGCAGGCGCCGTGTTTTGTGAGGACAGTGCTCACAGAAGAGGCACTCTTGCCTGGTCCCGACCAGCCCTCCAGCTGCAGGGAGGGAGGACTTAGCTGGCTGTGGGGGCTGGGAGGTGAGGAAGGGGTTTCTTCTCCCTCTGAACCCCTGCAGACTGCAGGTCTAGAGAGGTAAGGGCCAGAGCGACCCCCGCTGACCAACCCTGTCAACTCCAGTCCCCCGATTTTCCCCAGGGAGACCTCCCTTCCCCACTGGCCTCCTCCGGGCAGCCCTCAAGGATTAGACAGGGACCTTGGCACCCCTGTAGGGTGCTTCTGAGGTCACAGATCCTCACAGACGCGAGTCAGGTCTCCAACGTATCCATCCAGGTGTTAGGAACATGCTTCGGAGGCTTCCTGTGTCTTATCCCCGTGACCTCCCATTCCTGAGTGTCAGGAAGTCCTTCTTGCTGTCTACCCTCTTGCTTCCCACCTGGATCCGAAGGGGTTACTCAGCTCCAGGCCTCCCCACTGCAGGTCCCAGCTGCCTGAGCCTGTGGTGAGAGCTAATGTAGGCAACAGTCGGGGGACAAGAGGGGATAAAGTTATTACCATCTTCATCTTTGAGGGATATCGATTGTCGGGTCTCCAGGCTCGCTTGGTCTTATAACGGGGCTCACGGGGGTGTTGGGAGGGACTCGGAAAAATCTCATGGAGCCTCCACCCCATATCCTGAGTGGGAGCTGGGGTGCCTGCGTCTTCCCTGAGGGCGGCAGGTAGAGACACAATGTGGGACACAAAAGCTGTGCGGAGGAGAGGGCTGAGGGCAAGGAGCAGACTGGGGGGGACCGGGGCTTTGCTTTAGAGTGTGTGTGATCTGTGCATGTGTGTGTGACACACGGCGGGGCGGGGGGGAGAGGGAAGGAGAGGGAGGAAGAGAGAGAAAGAGGGAGGGGGGAGGGTGCAGCTGAGCTGGAGAGATTCAAGGTGGCCGCCCAAAGGGGAGAAGACAGGGTCCCTCCTCCTGAGGCTCAAGTGCATGCCAGTCCAGGTCCCGTGGTGGAGGCCGAGCCCCCTCCACTAACCCTGGGACGTTCTGTGACACCTTGCTGCAGCTCCAGGCAGCCTCCCCTGCTCCTGGGAACCGAGTGTCGCCGGTGTGGCTCAGTGTGTGGCGCTGGGCGGTGCCACACGGGGGAGAGTTTCGTCCCCTTCTCAGCACGGTGTGCCTGGTTTGGTGTTTGCACGGGACAGTCTCTGGGAGGAGGTGTGTGTAAACTCCGCCCTCTGCACACAGCTGAGTACACTCCCATTCTTGAGGTGGAATCAGGAAGGATGCAGGCAGGGGAAGGGCCTCGGGGGTCTGGCTGCCCACCTCGTCCAGGTTTTGCAGCCCCTGGCTGACCACCTGGGGTCCGATTGCAGCAAGGCTTGCAGGGGTGAGGGCCTCAGAGAGGGGGTGCAGGTGTGGGTGCGGATGTGCTGGGGACTGAGGGACGCTCTCCCTCCCTTCCTTCCTCAGGACTCCTTCTGGCCTCTCTTCTCCTTCGCTTTCCCTTCCAAAGCCCGAAGCCCCGGAGGA